CAAGTTTTCACCTGACATCAACAACTTATTTGGCACCAAATTGTTTAAGAAACATCCTGTCCTGGGTATGACGATAAACTACATCCAAAGCAAGGCCTCCGATCAGAAGGTTTTGAGGAGCATGGAACCACCTCCTAATTGCTGGTATTCACATGTCTACCTTGACTATGTGCCATTTTGTTCCATTGCCTTTCCCATTTTAAAGGCAGCTTCATGATTCCATCCCTTCAGAACATGACATCTTTCTGGATGATGAACTAAGTGTTTTTTTACTGATTTTTAGAGAATTAAAGTTCCTTCCATTAAGAGAATTTTGTAAGTTGAAAGGTGAGGTTTGTACAGCAGATGTAGAAGGACATCTTAGTCAAGCTGTCCCAATTTCTGCAAATAGATATGAGTTCTGACATTGTTCTTATGGAAGATGACACCTTTTAGATTGGCCACTTCAAGATGCTTTTCATCAATTGCTGTCTTTAATCAGTCCAAATAGGAACAGTATTTGTCTGAATTCAATAGTAATTCATCTCCATGAATGGCACATATCTTTTTTGCTGTTTGTGCAGCATTTTTTCCTTTCTGGAATATAAAAGTGCATCAAATGATGAAAGGCATCTAAATTTTTTTATATTTCTTTTTAAAATTCACAATCTACATGAATTGTATAAAAAGATGCATTGAAATGTCATCTTTCAAAATATACATATATGCCATAAATTTCATTCACATGTGAAAAAAAAAAAATCTTGTGTTCAGAAGACATCTATTGAAAAATGCAACAAACTTTCATTCCAACTCAATAATTTAACATTTCTGTCAAGCTGCTTAAGCCAAGAGTTGATAAAGACTTTAATATCTGTCAATTTTGCCAGTGCATTTTCTAAATACACTGAAGCAATGTAGACAATGAATTTTTGTGCAGTGTACCCATATTTAGTAAATAGCAGATATGGTTCAACAAATTCAAAATCTCTGACCATGAACTTCCTGATAAGCTGCACAGAAAGTAATATCACATCAAAAATATGTAATTTTGTTACCAACTCCTTCAAAGTTACAATTCAACACTCAACTTTGAGATAGAAATTTAATAGTAAACAACAATACTTAGGTTTTGTTTAATATCCATTTTATTTTTGGCCTTTCAAGACTGAGATCAAGTCTGTCCTTTCTTTGGATAGTGTACAAAATTGAAGCAGATATTCCAATTCCAATGCAGTACCTCCTCAGTGCAATAAAAATGAAAATCCTGGGTTGCCCTGACACTTTATAGCACTGGCTGCAGAAAATTAGACAATTTTTACCTGAAGACACATGTATATATTTTAGGCTCCATCTTAAACCTGTGTTGAATTTCTCTTCACAGGTAGACAAATCCATTTGGGGCTGGCATCAGTTTTGCTCATGTCTTTCAACTCCAAATCAGAACCTCACAATTGCATTAAAAATGTGTAGGTCACATTGACATCTTTATAATACAAGCCACAGAATTTGAGCAGTTTTTGCCATGACACACATACATGCATGGATCCTCACATTAAACCCAACACTGTGTTAAATTTACCCTCATGGATAAGCAGACAAATACCAACATTATTCTATCACTAATACTTTAGAGCTGAGGTCAGCCCTGTTCTTATCTCCAGGCAAAAGAGAGCATAGGATTGATTTGGAGATGCCAGTTCCCATGCAGCACTATCATATGATTTTGAGACAAATGCCATTCTTCTATGTACTATATCTTTTTAGGATTTTTGCAATCATGGCTCACTACAATTTCCAGTCCTTTGTAACTCTTAATAAATCTTATCTTTTTTGTTATCTTTCCTAAACTTTGTTCCATCACCCATTTACTCAAGCTTGCTAGGTATGTTATGTGTTATTTTCCTCTGTCTCTTGCCTTCAATTTCTATGTGCCTTAGAAGTTTCAACTGTCTCTTCCTGATGTTAAGTATAAGTGTCCTTTTTGTTTCCATTTTTTTCTAAAACTTTGTCATTGCTCACATGTTCAGTCCATGGTATTCTTTGTAGAACCACATTTCTGTTGCTTCAAGTTTCTTCATAATTTTTTAGACACACATATACATGTGAAGCTTCAGCCTGTGTTATATATGCTCTTGTAAAGAAGCAAATAAATATGAAAATTAATTCTATGAGACTTCCATTCATCTATTTTTATGTCCCTTCAGGATGTAGGCAACCATGGCTCTTGATAACTTTCTCTCCTTTGTAGCTCTTAGTAATGTTTGCATTTTAATTCTCCTTCTCACCCCCTGATCTGCTATTCGTTTACACAAGGTTCTTAGGTAGATAACTTGCTATTTCCCTCTGCTCCTCTTGCCTTTGATATGTCCTATGAGTGTAAAATTCTCCAAGCCCTGTTTCTTTTATTTATATTTTCCTTAAAAATCTATTGCCCACATATTCCATTCATGATATTCTCAGCATTCTTCTGTAGAACTAAATCTGTTATCTCAAGTTTCCTCTTCATCTATGAGGAAATTGTTCAGCATTCACTGCCATATAGCAGAATTGATATTACATAGCAGTTCAACACTCTTTTCTTTGTTTCTAATGAAATTTTCCTGTTTTTTAATACTGTGTTTATCTTTTGGAAGTTATCTCCATTGAATATGAGGATTGCATTATAAATACAGGGTGCAGCAGAAATAACTCCCACATTTTAAAGGCTGACAAAAAGTCCAAGCTAACTGATATTTAAAAAATTATTTCACTCTTGTTTAAACAAAGGGCTACAGTTTTTATTCATTTGGTTCTAAAAATGACATTTTCCAAATGGTGGTTTCTATTTGCCATACACTTTTTGCATACAATTTCTAAAGTTTTCTCTCACCCAGAAGTTTGAGCATTATGATGTCTTCCAGGTGGCTTTCTTTTAAGTGCTGAACTTGTGGCCCTGAAATTTGGGAACTTTAATGTTAAAACTGAAATCCTCAAATTTTACTTTTGTTAATATTCTGAGTTTGACAGACATAAAAGTTGATTCATTTTCTTCGTAAAATATTTTAATACTTAGCAAATTTGTTTTTTTTAAGTTATTTTACTTGTTCTGTGAATTTTTATTACTCTTAAGCAGTAAAAGTGCAACAAAGGAAATGAAGTTATGGAGGGCCATGATTGCCCATATCCTGAAGGAACAGATCACATAAAAGAGGCTGTCAATACTAAGTTTTAATACTTATAAGAACTGTGATATAACTATATAATATTCTATATATGTATGTATGTATATACATTCAGCAATGCCATATTACCAAAGCACACCTTTTTCATATATAGTAACATGATGTAATTAGAGGAGAGCACACTGCAAAATTATATGACCAACTAAGGACACAACCCACCACCTGTCACTGATGTGAATTTGATCAGGAAATGTCTATATAAAAGTGACCAATGAAAATTTCTCTCTGTATTCATCCAGGTCCTTCACCTTCATTTTCATGTGGTCAGAAGTTGTCAGACAATTCTGTCCTTTGTTCAATGTCTCTTTCTATTATATGTCTTGAGTTTTGCCATCAACTATAGATCACCAAATTGTGTTTTTTCTACAACTACAATAGAAGGTCAGTGGCTGTTGCACAACATCTTTATCCTACAATAATTACTGAACTTAGCTTCATACAACACTTGGACAGATTGAGAAGTTAGATAGCAAGATTATGTTACACCAAATGTCCAACTGGAGAGAAAACTTGCTAAAAAGAAAATCGCAGTTAAAATTGCTGAACTTGAACACTGGCACTGCGGGTAAATATTTTAGTCATAAGACAATAATTGTATAGTTTTGCAATTAATCTGACAATAGTTCTGTTGATTATTCTGTCATTTTATGGGATTTTTATGGTTTTTTTTGGTTTTTCCAATAGAGTTTCTTTTGTATAGGATTTGAAGTTTGGCAATTTCTGAGAATTTATAATAGAAATGTTTATTCTGTAACATTGTGCTATTTTTTGTTTTTTGTTTTTTTCAATAAGTTGTCATGAAGTGCAAATCCTAAACTGCACTAAATTACTTGCTCTCTATGATTTCTTTTAGTTGTTGTTTTCTTTTTTTCTTTCTTTTTTAACTTCTTCCTCTTCAGCTTGACTTTTTTGTTCTTTTTCTCTTGACTTTTCCTTTTCCTCCTCTGCATTTTTCTTCATCCAATCAACCTCTTTTCCGACTTCTTTTCCTTACCTCTTCCTTCTACTTTATTTTTTGTTGTCCTTGTTGGAGGTGGTAAGAGGCTTCCTATTTTTACATTTTTCTTTTCCTTAGAAATTATTAACATTTTTTTTATATATATCCAAAGCACTTAGAGAATAAAAGGAAATTGGAAAGAGGTAAAATACTTTGTGTTGATTTTTGATGTTTATATTTTTACATTTCTTGCCTTTTAAATTCATTGTTTATTTTATTTGAATTATTTGTAATCACTTATTTGTTTAATAATTGTTGACTTTAATAGTTTTTTCTTATTACTCTGCATAAATCTTTTGTAATCTTAGTATATTTTATTTTTAACTAATTAATATTTTAATTACTATTTTTACATTAATTTCTTTTTAATTAGTTATAAATAATGTATTATAATCAATTTTTACGTGAATGTTGATTGTTTCTTAAGCTGATAACATTTGAAATATGATCAGTTATGAATTTCAAGTCTTTTTTTATTTTTAATTATATATAACTAATATTTTAATTATGATAAATATCTTACATTAACTGTTTGTATTTGGGTTGAATTAATTATCTTTATGTTTATTACTTTAATTAGTATTTGCTTTAGCTTTCTGTGATTGTTACTTTTAATTAATTCTATGACTTTCTTGAAAAAATCATTTACCTGTTTTCTATTTTTCCATGTTTGACCACTGGAATATCATTTAGCATTAAACTTTTTAAAAGCACGAAACTGACTAAATACTGACTGTTTTTTTTTTTTTTAACTCATTTCATATTTTCTGTACAATTTTGTTTGTATTTTATTTCTATAGACAAATAGTGAACAGGATTTACAAGCAGTTTACCTTTTGGTTAACCAAGAAGATCAATCTCTCATCAAAGGCTCTCCCCTCTATGATATTCATGGACCTCTAAAGGTAAGAATTTTCTCCTGATTAAATTATTTATATCTCATGAAAATGACATTTGGGACCAGTGGCTCTGTTTTGGCATCTATCAGAATAGTATTAGTTCATCTACAAATTGAGTAATGAGAAATATGCTTGCATTAGTTCCTGACCACTGACAATCACTTCTTCATTTTCAATGTATTTCTATGGTTCAATCATTTTTCAATGTATTTATATAAGACATATATCCCCATTGTATTCATTCTTTATTACTGAGAGTCCCCTTCTTCCTTATTTACAATGCATTTCTCAAGTAAAATCATTTTCAGTATATTTACATCTTACTTATTATAAAACGCAGATTGTGTGTGTGTGTGTCTGTCCGTTTATATATTGGATCAGATTTCCTACATTTTTCAACTGATTTCATCAAAACTTCACAGGACTGCGTAAAATTACCTTGCGGTGTTTCTGACAGCACCAAAAATTGGAAAAACACAATTGTTTTTGCATGAAAACCAATTTGAAAACACGATAAAACACAATTCTCTCGCCAGAATGAAAGGGGGACAACTCAAATCGGGTTATACTTATAAAACCCAGGTTGTTTGTGTGTGTGTGTTCCTTTATACATGGGAACGGATTTCCTACATTTTTCAACTGATTTCAACAAAACTTCACTTTTTTTTTGGCAGGTAGTGTTTCTTATTGTCTTGCACACTTTTTTCTTTATTTTTACATTCAGAATGCTTTAAAAGTTCCATTTACAAGACAATTGTTTATAATAAAATTGAAAAATTCTATTCAATTGGTAGACTCATAACAATTGAAAACAATGTTTTTGTTTGAGTTTGGGTTTGACCAATTCGTAAAAAAACAAAAAAAAAAAACTAATTAAGACATGCGTGTCCGTCAACCTTAAACAATAATCTTTGTCAATTTTATTTTTCAGTCTTTATGATGGTCGATACTTGATCTATCTCTTCTCTTACTGTTACATCCCCGGGCAATGCCGGTTCTACTGCTAGTAGATTAATATTAATAATATAATGGACTCATAACTAAACTTTAAAGGTATCTACATGAAATCAACTTTTAAGTAAAAGTCTGTAAAACACAGAAATACTTTTGATACACACTAACATTTAAAGACAATTCAAAATAGCTTCTGTTGTTAAAGAATTAATTTGATTTTGTCAAATTAAAACTTGATTTGAATTGTACATAAATATGCAAAGTCTCAACTACTAAAATTTGCATAATTTATGCATTATCAATTGTAAAATCTGATTTTCATTTTTATGGAACATTGGTTATTATGATGTATCTTGGAGGTTCAAAGATTTGAAATGGAAACATTGTATTTTGTATAAGATTGTGTTATACATAGTAATTTCTTTTGATTTTTTTGTTGACTTGAATACTGCATTGTAAAATCCCAGAATGCAATGCACCCACAAGACCAACAGAAGATCAGAACCAGAAATCCAGAAATAAATCAGCTAATTTATTGTGAAGAAAAAAAACCCAAAAAGAAGCCAGTTTCCCCATCTCCCAAAATCATTGAATGCTGTATCCTTCAATTTGGTTCTCAAGCATAGCAAGGAAGACTCATAGATGATTGTTCTACAATTAAACTCTATGCATGTGTGATTGAATTTATTTTATTGGCTTTGTTGGATAAACTATTGCTGTGAAAACAGCAGTAGTTGGATGTTAAAAATATATACATAAATACATACAAGTGAGGATCAATGCTGATAGCAGTTTTTAAGTGAATTTTGATCTGAAATTTCCGCTGTATGATGTTTGATCTATGGAAAAAAATTATGTTTTGGTCATTGACATAGAAGCATATTATGTTGAAAGATATGTTGTAAAATATGTTTTTTTTTTCATGAGGCAGTGAACGTGTATATATATATATATATATATATATATGACAATGATGATTGAGAAGAGTAACAATTACTCATTAACTTTTATTTTGAAATTTATTCAGAATTCACTATTTAGCATCAATTTATTTTATATTCAAAATATAAAAAGAGATTATTGCCCAGGTTAGCTTAATTTCAAAATTTAAGTTTTTTAGAGTCATAAGCTTATTCTCTAATGTCATAAATGTATTGAAAATCTTTATATTATTGTAAAAAAATGATTGAGCCAAAACTATTTCACAATACTGAAACTGCAACATTTGTATAGAATTTAAAAAAAAAAAATCTGAATTTTTTAGAGCTTGTTTTTTAAAAAAAAAAAATGCTTGGATATTTTTCCAAACAAGGTTAAAATTTTTAGTTTCAGTTTGAATACAAAAATGGAGCAAAAGTATCTGTCTATAAATTTTCAGATTGGTCACTTGTACATTTTTTTGTTTACTTACATCTAATCTTTTCATTTTATGTCAGATCAACCTGTTGCTCTCATTAGAGATGCTCCAGTCTTACATTGCAATGGACCAGCTGCCACAAGCCTTTGATGGTCAGTTAGAGTATAGCCACGAAAGTTGGGTACGATTTCACATGGTAAGTATTTATCATTTGGGTGTACATGTGTTTGTTTAATAAACTGCTTTCCTTCAATGGAAAGAATTTAAACTTGGGAAGTATTTTCTTCAGGTAACAAAATTTGCGTAGTTTCACAAATTCATTATTCATCAGGTTTTACCTTTTGTTTGGAATTTTCTCTGAATATTTTCAAAGAGCTGCCAAATCTGTTTGTTTGTCTGCACATTGTTTCATATAACTCATACAAAGATTATTAAGCTAATAAAAGCACTTACTGGATGAAATCTTTTATTTCATCTATACATATACATAAACTCACCCACATCCAAAATACATGCACACATACATATGAATACACACACACATATATATATATATATATATATATATATATATATATATATACACTTACTTTTGGCTCACATATTCCAATAGTTTTGCTCACTTGAATTGTATTATTCTTATGGTTGTTTTGGTGAGCATTAACAGTTATGTTTGAAATTATTCTAGAGGTTATTGGGTGGAGATAAATGTAGATCCAGATGCAGTTTTTTGGCTATTTATAGTGTTGTTTGTTAACTTTTTTTATTTATTATTCATTATTTTATTGTTGGTTGTTGTTATTATGTTTACTTGTGTTTGTGTTCATTTGTGGTTTGATAATTTGTTTATTATTTACTTAATTCATTTACTTATTTATTGGTTTGGATTAATTTATTTTACTTATTTTTGTTTATTTTAATTTTATTTATTATTGTTCATTTTTAATTTTTGATTTTTAACTAATGTAGCAAAAATTTGTTTTCATGTCTGCATTTTGAGATGAGTTCTGATCATTTATTTAGTAGTTTGTGTTGGTCTGGGGAGGTAATTATAGCTATTTTTTCTTCTAGACAGAGTTTACAATTTTTGGATTTATTGTTGTAGGCTGATGTTCTTTTCTTTATTTTCCATGATATTTTTAGTGTGTTTTGTTTTTAATCTCCCAGATATGTTTAGAAAGCATTGTGCTGTTTGCATATTTACTATTTGTAAAGGATGTTTTGTGCATGTAGTTTCTTTTTTTTTTTTTTTTTTACAAGGTCCTTCAGTTACTCCTATGTATATTTTTTCTTCATTATCTGCTGATTTTACAGGGGCTTGTTATATTATGTTTTTCTGCAAGCAATTTCCATTTAAGAGACATTTGTTCTTTGTTTTGCATTTAAATGTAGGTTTGATTTGTGTGGGTGGCATGATGGTTGTTTTTCTGTTGTCCTTTTATATTATTGTCATGTTTTTTTTCAGTACAGATGTAGTTGATTTTTATATGCACTCTATCCCTGATACTGAACACGTTAACACATAAATATAGCATACCTTTAAACTATATTTTATCATTTTATATATATATTCTGTTCATACATTACTTTTATAGATATAATTTATTTAAGTAAATGCTCTGTTTTTAATTAAATAGTATTAATTACTTTTACTGGCCTAAATATTCAAGAAATTTTGTAGAAAATATGTGCTCTTCTGACAGTAATCAAACCTGTAACCATTATGGGAACCATCATATAGACTGACATGCCATTACCATTCAGCTACAGAGAAGCATCTGATTAGCAAAATTCAAATTACTGTTAAAAAACACAGACCTTCAACAATTTTTCTCAATTGATCATTTTTGCTCACAAAACATATCTTAATGTAAACAATGACAACATATTATGAAATGGATTAAGTCCAAAAATTATTTAATATATTTTCTGTTCATATGTTATTTTTATAGATATAATTTATTTAAGTAAATGCTCTCTTTTTAATTAAACAGTATTAATTACATTTACCAGCCTGAAATTAATTAATACTGTTTAATTAAAAACAGAGCATTTACTTAAATAAATTATATCTATAAAAATAACATATAAACAGAAAATATATTAAATAATTGTTGGACTTAATACATTTTATATATATATAAGATTAGAGCATCTGAAATACTGTAATAATAACAAAGATGTAAAATTCATATTTTGTTACAAAAGGATTTAAATTAATTTAAATTTTTTCTATTTTTTTCTGAATAATTTCCAAAGAATTAAATAATAACCAATAACTGGTTAACTGACTTTCAGAATTTTTGTTTTTTCATAACCTTTTCTTATTCCTTTTATTTATTGTCTTTTTCTTATTCCCTTCATTTTAATCACTTTTTATTTTTTCATTTCTCATACTTGTTTTTTGTACTTTCTCTTTTTATTTTTTTTTTGTTACCCTCTTTTTTCTCATTCCTTTTTGTTATGCTTTCTTTTTTTATTCTTTTTTGTTACTCACTCATTTTCTCATTCCTTTTCATTGCACTCTCTCTTTTTCATTCCTTTTTGTTGCATTCTCTCTTTTTCATTTCTTTTCATTGCACTCTCTCTTTTTTCATTCCTTTTTGTTGCACTCTCTCTTTTTCATTCCTTTTCGTTGCACTCTCTCTTTTTTCATTCCTTTTCTTGCACTTTTTTTTCATTCCTTTTTTACTTCTTTTTTCATTCTTTTTGCATTCCTTTTTCATTCACCTTGCTCTCTTTTTTCATTCCTTTTCGTTGCACTCTCTCTTTTTCATTCCTTTTTGTTGCACTCTCTCTTTTTTCATTCCTTTTTGTTGCACTCTCTCTTTTTTCATTCCTTTTTGTTGCACTCTCTCTTTTTTCATTCCTTTTTGTTGCACTCTCTCTTTTTCATTCCTTTTCGTTGCACTCTCTCTTTTTCATTCCTTTTCGTTGCACTCTCTCTTTTTCATTCCTTTTCGTTGCACTCTCTCTTTTTCATTCCTTTTCTTTGGACTCTCTCTTATTTCTTTTTGTTAATCTCTCTTTTTTTCTTATTTGCTTTGTTACTTTTTTTATTATAATTTTTTACTCTTTCATTTTCATTTTGCCTTTTACTCCCTTATTCCTATTTTAATTTAGGTTTATTTTATTTTGCCCTCTCGGTTTTTCTTATTTCTTTTTTTTTTACTGTCTCTTTTTCTAGAAACTGGAACCATTTATGGCTGATTGTCAGCTGGTCGACAAATACCTAAAAGACTCTCTCAGCAATATTACAGCCATGGACAAAATCCCCTCCACCTATGATGAAACTAATCGTTTGTTATGGGAACATGAACAGCAGGTTCGTTCTGTGTTTGATGCCCCTCAACTCTTGCTGCTACAAGAGGAAGGTGATACGATTCTTAATCAACTGCAACAAGAAGAAAATTATTTGGGACACTCACAAGACTACAAGTGAGTTGAATCATTTTCATCTTTCTTATGCAAACAGAATGAATAACTACTTACGATATATATATTCAAGTATAATGCAAGTTTTTATGGTCAGTTTTTTACACAAAAAATAGGTGGTCACACTATACATGGGTTATTTTTTGAGGAGGTTAAAAATCATGCATTATGGTTGACCAGTTACACTATACACAAGCAATTTTTTTTCCAGTGGGGTTAAAAGTCATGTTCAGAAGTCTCACTATACATTCAATCGGCTTATACATGCTTTTTGTTAAAATAACATTTTTGCCTTTAATTAAAAATAAACAAAGCAAAAATACTGAAGAGCAAAATGTTTTATCTCAGCTGCAAGGTTAAAGAGGTTCATTATAACATGCATATTGAAGATAAAGAATATTATTATTTAGAGTAAATACATATATATATGATGGACTCCTGTTGAGTTCAATGTATGAGGTTCCAATGACCATGAACTAATTATCTTCATGCCTATCAGTGGCATGACTTTTGAGACCAGCTCGAGAATTGCACAAAAGACCACAAACAGTATAGGAGAATGTATTGTATCCAAGTGCAGCAGGAACACTGTTAGCTGTCTTATTTTGCTTTTGTGTTTCACGCAGTTGAATGATGCTTACTTCTTGATTGGGTATTATTCATGAATGGCAGCTAGAACGATACTCTGATCTCTTCATAGCTACCTCTTTAAAGTTCTTGAATGGAATGTTGAAGCAAGAAAGGATGTTCTTCAGTTTATCTTTATACCTGAGCCAAGGTCTACTAACATTTCTATGACCACTATGGAGATCACTGTGGAAAAGGACTTTTGGTATGTGATAATCACTCATCCTTGCCACATGCCCAACCCAACATAGGTGGGATTGCATTATGAAGGTCTCAGTGGTACCAATCTTGCATTTCTCAAAAAGGTTTGCATTTGACACTCAAATATATATATATATATATATATATATATATATATATATATATATTATTACATGAATCATACAAAAACATTCATGTAATGTAAATTGAACTTTACATACTTTATATATATATATATATATATATATATATATATATATACACCTAGTGAGCCAGACAAACCTACCTAGGTTTCACCTAAACGGATCGTCAGGGAAAGTAACGAGGCAAAGGAATATTATCCGTCTATTTCAGAGAAAACCCTAAACGAAGCCCTCAGCTTAGCCAAAGAATACATCCAAATTTCTGATGATAAAATAAATCTAATTAGACATTGTAGAAAAACATTGCTATTTCACGATAATACTTTATGGATAAAAAAAGATAATATTAACGGTTTTGACAACCCTATGGGAGCGTATGATAGAGCAGAGGTGTGCGAGATAGTAGGGTGCCTGCTGCTCCATAAGCTTAATGAATATATAGACTTTAATAACCATGGGTTGTACCGCGACGATGGTTTAATCATAGTGGACAATAGTAACCCTCAAAAATGTGACACTATCCGTAAAAAACTGCACTGATTTTTAAAAAAATTCAGATTCTATCTCGATATAGAAACTAACTTGAAAATCACCAACTATCTAGATATTACGTTGAATTTACAAAATGGCACAATATTCACGTATAAAAAAGAAAACCAAGAACCCCAGTATTTACACATAAAATCTAAGCATCCAGCCCATATCATAAGGCATATTCCTAAAAATATTGGGTATAGACTTTCTACTAATTCCTCCAATAGGGACATTTTTGAGGCCAATAAAATAAGTTATGAGGAAGCCCTATTTAAGAGTGGACATAAAAATAAATTAGAATATATTAATATAAATAACCACAACAGTACTCAGAATAAACATAATAATAAAAAGAAAGATTTTGTGGTTCAATCCTCCTTTTAATTTAGCGGTAAAAACTAAAATTGGCAAGATATTTTTTTAATTTATTAGAGCAACATTTCCCCAAAAACTGAGTTACATAAAATATTCAACAAAAACAATGTAAAACTTAGTTATTGTTGCATGTGCCGAACATAGGGACTATAATAAATGGATTGAATAAGAAAAAAACTAGGAATAATCCACGCAGTAATCCTCCTACTTGTAATTGTAGAAACAAAAACATCTGTCCATTACAGGGAAAATGTCAGCAAGAATGTGTGGTTTATCAAGTGAAAATTTACAAAAATAGTGAGGATACTAACCCTAAAACATACATAGGTGCTACTCAGGATAAATTTAAAAAAAGATATTATAACCACACGAGTAGTTTTAAAAATGCAAAAAGTAAACATAGTACCACGCTATCTACTTATGTATGGAAAACCAAACAGGAAGATAATATAGACCCCATCCTTAAATGGGAAATATTAAAAAAATGCCCAAAATATAAAGCAGGCCATAAATTTTGTAAATTATGTGCAGAGGAGAAATTAGCCATAGCTTTATATGATCAACCTAACCAGCTATTAAACTCTAAAACTGAAATCCTTAACGTATGTAGACATAAAAAAATCTTGGCTACTAAATTAGATGTTTTCCCGTTTATTGTCATTCTACCTTAATGTTCATTTTTTTTTTGTTATTTTTCCCTCCCCATTTTTGTTGAATTTACCCCCCCACCCACTTAGGTTTGTGTTTGTGGTTCTTTGGTCACGTGGTATAATTTTAGCTATCGCCTATAAATATGAGTTTCTCTTTGCCTCGTTAGCCTTACTTTCCCTGACGATCCGTTTAGGTGAAACCTAGGTAGGTTTGTCTGGCTCACTAAGTGTATCTAGGTCTGCTCTACGGTTGTATTGAGCGCTTTTGTTAGTTAGTTGTTTACTCGTATCGGGGTTTTATCTTTGGGCTTCAGACCTGCATCTGTGCGATATTTTTGTCGGCAGAAGTTCATGTCTTTCTTTTTTTAAAACCTTTTTTCCCCTCAAAATTGATTTGATTATTAGCAAATCCAAAATTTGAGGGTTTTTCGAAACTAGTCTAGTTATCTACATATATATATATAGAGAGAGAGAGCGAGCGAGGACTCTCCTATTATATTGCAATGTATGAGGGTCCAACAGTTCAATTCTTAGAACCAAACATCTGCATTTATGATTTGATTATAGTGGTGAAGTCTTGTGCAGAAGTGAAAACACTTTTTGGAAGAGCCAAATGCAGAGAACTAGTGCATTACATGCCACAAGTTACCCAAACAACCCTCCTCAGGTTTTGAATTCAGAGTTGTTCTCCTAGACCGGTTGCTACCCAAGACTATAGAACCCAGTCTGTCCTGCTATTTACCTATACCTTAGATGAAATGGATTCATAACTTTACATTTGCATGTAAGTGAATGTAATGAACTTGACAAATTCAAACTCAGATGTCCAATTCTTCAATCCAAGATATCTATTACACTGTTCTCTATATAATATATATATATATATATATATATATACACACAGAGAGAGAGAGAGAGAGAGGTTGCTTAAAAGTACTCTGAGAAATAATTACTCAGAGCCATGTAACATACACGGTATCCACTCCATAGTTCAACATATTCACCACATTGTTTCTCAAATTTCTTTAGCCCTTATGAAAAGTTTCTATTTCTTTGGTCATTGAAATACTGATTTTGGGAAATTTTCAGTACTTCCTCATTCATGTAATATACACACTATAGGCCAAAAGTTTGGAGCAATCTTTATGGGTTTTGAAGAATCACCTAATAATTTACTAGCTCACTTCAGATCAGACAGATTTTGTCTTCCTGAAGGGTTTTATCATATATTCAATAATAATAATGAAATTAACCCTTTACTGCATAAAGTCTCCTTAAAATTTTAGCTCTTTTTACCTAATCTACCTTGCTGATTAATAATAATCTTAGGGCTGGCAAATTTTAAAATTTAGGTAATTCCTCTCTAAAATAAATTGGACACCATACACTAATTGGTTACATAGTTTCGGCATCCTAACTTAATAGAAATTAATTAAACCAAAAAAGGTAAGAAACTTTCTAATTATTAAATTCAGAGTGTAACTCCAAACCTTTAGCCTATAATGTGTGTGTATATATATATATATATATATATATATATATATATATATATATATATATTGTTTTTTTTTTTACATCCTTTAGCAATTTTTTTTCTTTTCATTTTTAAGGACAGTTTCTGGCTTGTGCTCATAGCATTTCTATGTAGAGTCAAGCCCACGTTGTTTGAACATATTTCCTGGGGACTCACTATCTCCATTCTCCATTCTTTGATGATTTTTATTTTCCTATTTCTGCTTCTGTTTTTTTAATTCTTATTATTAATATTATGGTTATTATTATTGATGATGGTGATAATGATGTGGTTGTTTATCAGCAGAATAATTTTTTTTTAATTTTTCCACAGGGAAGAAATGCTTCATGTAAAAAAAATGTATAAACACCTACAAAACAGCATGATGAATTTGGTCAAAGTTGCTGAAACTCGATTCCATAAACTAGAACAAGGACTTCAACTCCGTGGATTTGAAAATGAATGCAACAAGGTGAGTACAAACATTTTTGTTGTTTTCCACATCAAATCTCTCACTTGTCTGATTTGGTTAAGAAATTTTCTTAATTTCACTCAAACATGCAACAAGACTATAAATAATGTTAAGAAAGAAAAAAAAACTTTTTATACTCATTATGGTGATATGATGTGAAGCAGAGCAAAACATATTTCATATTGAATAAAGATACCAAAATATATTCAAATTACTTTATCTTCCAAACAGCCATTTCTGAACATTTTAGGTTATTGCTGATGAATTATCAAATACATGTGGCTCACACATTTGGTAATAGATTCAATTTGTGATTTTTAAAAATGTCTCGAACATTTTTATACATTCTTTTTCTGTTTAATAATTCTCTATTTTCATCAATTTAATTTTTTTTAATGCTGTTAAATTAATGGTGATAAAATGTCAATCAAAACAAAAAAGTGCTCAATAGATACAAAAGATACAAAAATAAAATTTTTATATCTGCTCTTTTTTCTTTCTTTCCTGACAGTATTCCAGATATCAGATTAATTTTACACCTCATTGCATAATTCACTGTTTCTTGGCTTAAATACATTTGTCACATTACAATCAATAATTGTGGCCTTTCAAAATATCATTTAGTGATAAGTAGAATAGAGTAAGCAATTGAAAGGATTTTTTATTTATTTATTAGTAAACCATAGCACTAAATATAATGTAATTAAAAATGAAAAATTATTGAATCTTATAAAACTTAGCTGACAGTAAGGAGGTGGATTGAGATTTTTTTTTTTGTTTGGTACATTTTAATTTTTTTCAGATAGGACTTCATTTGTTCAGTTTTTAAATAAAGATATTTACAGAGTCTGGAGATTGCTTTTTTTAAGCCACCTGCAGTCCACTTTCAAACATGGTGAATTTTCAGTAATTATATGGTGGACAACTCACACATTCAAATACATGAAAATTATCAGTTCAGAAAAAATGTTGATCCATTTTGTAGGAATAATTTGGGACAAAAAAAATATTCCAATATGACAAATTAAAAAGACTGGCATAACTTTGCAAGCAAATGTTAGGATGAGGTTCCACATCTGTTACAAGCTATCTAGTGGCTAGTGGGGCCTATACAATGGAGATGCATGCTTTTCCACAATAGCTGCAGAAGAAGGTATGACATCTGATGAAAATTTCAGCTTTGTCTGTTTTCCTTTTGTTCTTTTTCTGAAGCTTACTGAAGACTAGTTTCCTGAATGACCAATAGTCCTCCATCTCCAACTTGTAATCAGCCCATTGCAATTAAGTCTTCTTTAGCATAACTTTAACACTTCTGACTAACTCATTGACTTGTTCAAGAACATCAGTGTTGATGAAATTGTTTCAATGCACATTAAGAAAGGCACAAAAACAATTCAGCAACTATCATATTCAAATCAATCTTTTGACATGATTCCTGGCTCTCCACAATTTCCTATCTGCTTTTGTTCTAAGGAACTGTTTCATCTTTACTACTACTTTGTGGTCCAACTTCTGCTCTCCAATCACTCATCTAGTAGGCTAACTGTTTCCTCTCTGTTTCTCTTACCTTCAATATCTTCTGTGAGTGTTAAATTCTCTAAGCTTTCCTTTTTCGTTATGTCTCATAAAATTCAGCTCTCATTTTTATTGTTAGCAATAATTTCCTTGTAGTTACTATTCTTCTTAAAAAAAAATAATTCACATGTTCTGCCCAAGGTATTCTCAGCATTAGTTGGTAGAATCACACCTGTGTTGCTTTAAGTCTCTTTTGTTAAGAAATTGTCCAAAATTCACTGCCATAGAAGAGATATTACATAGCAGTTTAGTACTATTTTCCTTGCTTCTTACATTTTCCTATCTCTTAATATTTTTCTTATTTTCTGAAGGCATTTTTCACTATTTCTATGCCCCTTTAGATTTCTGTGTCACACTTTCTGTCATCTGTTGCTACATAAACAACCCAGATAGTTAAATTTCTGTACTTTCTTGTTTTTAATATCCCCAATATGTAAAGCACATCTTGGGCTGTCCATTTTGCTAACAACCATCTGGGCAATATAGGATCTTGAAATTAGGTAAATATTCAGAAATATATTTTGGTTGATTAGCTTGGTCCTCAAAAGAAGATTGCATCTGATACATTTATGTCTGAAAGAGTAGAAACTAAAACCTATTTTTACATTATGAAATGTTCTTGAACCCTTTAGGCTACTGAATAAGCAATCTTCTTTGAAAATAGAGATATTTACTTATTTGTTCTGAGACATGAGAAAATTATATATCTTTTATTGTATACTTCATATTTTAAAAAATGCATAGAAAATAATGCTAATCTTTTCTTTACAGTTAAACATATGGATCTCAACAGAAGGCAGACATATGCTCAACAAATATAATTCTTGTATTGATAACCTGAAAAGTGCCAAGATGCTGGAAGACCAATTTCTTAAGGATTATTTTTCAGCTATGGTAAGTCTTGAAAAGTTCTTTTTACAAACAGTTTACCCATAACTAAAGTAACTTGCGACAAAAAAAAAAAATAAATAAAATAAAGCTGGATGGTTTTTATTTCATTCATAATGATATTCATAATAAAATGTATATTCCATAAATAAAAGTTATTACATTATTGATAAATACATATTTACATAATATAAATTTATTCTCAGTAACTTTAAACCATATGCTCCTGGTATTAGTTTAAACTAATTGCCTTCTTTTTTTTTGTCTACAGTGCCTTGCATAAGTATTCACCCACATTGAACTTCTCCACATTTTATAGTGTTACAAAGTGGAATTCAAATTTACATAAACAGTCTTTTTAGCATATAATCAACACAAAATGCACAGTGCTTTGAAGGTGCAAAATATATTTTATTGTGACACAAACAATAATTAGAACAACAAAGGTTTACGTTTCACCTACACATAGCATTTTTCATTAAGGCCCAAAAGTTCAATTTTGGTCTCATCTTTGCTCTATTTCCTACATGACTACTGGCAAACTGCAAATTAGACGTCTTATGGCTTTTTTTCTTGCCACTTTTCAATAAAAGTCAGGTTTGTGGAAAGCACAACTAATAGTTGTACTGTGGACAGATTCTCCCACCTGAGCTGTGGATCTTTGCAACTCTAGAATTACCATGGGTCTCTCAGTTGCTTCCCTGATTAATGCTCACCTTGCCTGGCATGTCAGTTTAGATATACAAGCAATATTTGTGAGCTGTGTGTATTTGTGATTGTGTTTATGTGGATGTACATATACACAAACTTTATTTGTGAAATGTTTTATAATTATTCCCAACAATTTGTTTAACTTTTTGATTTATATGTAAATATGTGTGCATAGGCAATTATTATACACATCCTAGATGTGTAGATGACAATGTGTTTGCATTTATGTGTGTGTGTATATATATATATATATAAAATACACTGCTATAAGTGTTAACATATATACACACTTATTAAAGATTTTATATCAATGTTTATGCAGTATATATAGATGTGTATAAGAAAACATTTAAAATTACCTCTCAGCCATCTGTGTGTGTATCAAAGCAGTTATAATTACTTCTAAACTTTTTGTTTCTCTCTCTCTCTCTCTCTCTCTCTCTCTCTATATATATATATATATATATATATATATATATATTTATATACTTTTGCAAGTCAATATTACAGGAAAATTAAGATTACAGCTAATATTTTATCTAACACCTAAAATATTGTCAACTTTGTATAATTAAATTTTAACTATTTTCATGAATATAGTTATTTACAAACTGTTCCTATTATTCAATTTTACTTAAGTTCCAAGTGCCCTTAAAAAATAAAAGAAAACAAAAAAAACAAAACAGAAACTAAATAGAATGTAGAAAATCTTTTTTTTTTTTTAAATAAAAATATACTGGAAACCTTTGTACACACCTAATAGTTTTTTTTGATATGTAGATTTACTCACATTGGAAAGTGGTTGATTTGATTTTACCACTTGCAGTAGCAAAATACAAGGTCTATCCAGAAATTCAGTCATTTATTATTAATGAAAAAAAAAACAAACTATCCTACCTAGGGCAATGGTGCATTAGCTTTCTTTTAGAGTAATTCTCTTAGAACTTCAAGCACTTCTATAAACATCCTTTCCACTTTTCAAAAGCGTCTGCAAAGTCCTATTTCAAGATTGTCATCTGCTGCCTCATTACATTTTCTTTAATCTCATCCACATTGTGACTTTTGTTTTTGGAAAAAGTTGAAAAAAATTGAAAGTTATAGGGATCTAAATCTTGAGAGTAAATTTAAATGATACAGAATTTTACCAAAATACTCTACACAAGAAAGGAAGATTTTATTTCCTCAGTCATTGTGAATGTGATGATCACAGAGTACACTCTTTCAATTGCATCTCATTGCTGGGACAGTGTCTATTTATGCATGTGCAGTAAACTCCCTTCTGATTGGTTACCAAGTTACATAGAGTTCAAGATATTCAAATAGCTGTATATATTCTGGACAGACCTCATATTAAATTAAAATTACAAATGATTTTCCAAAGTAGTAATAATAGAGTTATTTATAATATTTCCTTCCAAACATGATTCTGTTACCTGAGTAAATATCACACCATTTAAGTTTTAAGGGAAATTAAAACAATGACTTTTGATTTTATGTGGGAATGTCCATTGCAAAATGGCTGAAGAAGGAAAAAAATGTCTTTTTCTGTTCATACTTCTCAGTAACGTTCATGATACACTTTAAAGCAATATGCATAAATAAATTCTTGGACACAGCTAATTGGTAGGGCTTCTCCTGTAATTCAACAGCAATATTTATTGTTCATTATGAGGTATTCCAAGTAATATGTATTGTCCATTGGAGAATATGATACATTTCTTGTCTTCCATGATGAATTGACAACATTTCACCTTAATCAAATTTTCTCTTGTTGAAGTGTGGGATATTTGAAAATAACAGCAATAAAAACAAAAGTATTAGGAGACTGAATTAAAATCATATTAGCAACTGTGTTTGTTAAAAATGTCTGATACCAGAAATTTAAAAATTTAGTATCCCTATATGTCCAATAATAATTATAAGGAAAGTTTTTGCTTATATTTCCCCCCTCTCTCATATATATATATATATATATATATATATATATATATATATGATAGTGATATTTCAATATCACTGGAACATAAGGCAAGTTTAAATAATAACCTGATTTTGATAAAAATCAAGTTAAGTAGAAATTTGGCATTGTCATGGTTACAAACAAGAAACTGGAATTGGCAAACCAAATGCAAATTTTGACTGAGGCTACTTTGCATCTGTGCCCTTAGAAAAGACATGAAACCATTTCTCCCTGCACTGTCTTCCATTGCCAGATATATTTATGCCATATAATGCCATCACTGACATGACCCAATAGTTGACAAAGAAGAGAGGAGTTAGGTGGATAACTCTTTTATAATTACCTTACTTACCCAGAAAAAAGAAGCAAAAAGCTATTATCTTTGTAATCAACCTTGACAAGTACCAATAATAAGATGAGGTATCCAGTAATTAACCATCTCATCTTATCTGTTAAATACTATATAAATACTCTATTTGAAAATAAAGGAATTATAATTATTAAATGAAAAATCCAAGTGAAATGTGAAAGAAGTATAGGCTAAATAAAATAAAGTAAGCATATTGAGTTCTCTTAGTTAATCTGACAGTTTTGAAATTTGAAATTAAACAAAATCAAATGATGCTTATGGTTGTAATGATTCACCTGTATCAAAAAATTTAAGATGTCGTAAGAAATTGTACTCTTATTCTTGAATTCTTTTTTTATATGCCATGTCTCTTCAGAACATAGACAATCATCACTCTCCACAACTTGTAGCTTTAAGCAATGTTTCCTCCTTTATTATTCCTCCCACTCCCAGTTCTGCCATCCATTTGCACAAGCTCATTTGGTAATTTGCTTGATACTGATGACAAAAGGGGCTGAGAGAAGTATGTTCTGTGTGTGTCAAATTCTCCAAGCCCTCTTTCATCATTATGTGTTCCAGGAATTTCAACTGTTTCTTTCTTTTTGTTTCATTTTCCTTAAAACTTCTTGATTTGTATACTCAGCATCCTTCTGTAGAACCACATCTACAAGTTCCTTCTTCCTCTACAAAGAATTTTTTGTTTATTTCAGCAATTAGAATTTTTCAAATGTCTCTTCAAATTATTTTTATAAAAATATGGATGCAAAATTGTTGAGGTAATCAATTGTTGCAAAATTATTTGTTTCATTCATTTCATAATAGTTTTTTAAAAAAATACAAAATAAATTATTTAAATATGATGACTATAAATATGGCTAGGCAAAAGGGAAAATGAAATAAATGGGAATATGTAACATCACTCTTACAAACTGGTACTACCTGCCTTGAAAATCAGCATTCAAAATCCTCTTGTCTGAATACTGACCTTGAGTATCATAGATAACTGTTTCAGCTACCAGGCTTGTCACAGTTCTTATTTCATTCTGTCTTTAAGAGTTGTCATAGTTCTTATTTCATTCTGCCATTAAGACTTGTGAATTCTTATTTCATTCTATTTTTAAAGCTTTTTTTACTATTCTTATATCATTCTGCTGTTAAGACTTGTCACAGTTCTTATTTCATTCTGCTGTTAAGACTTGTCACAGTTCTTATTTCATTCTGCTGTTAAGACTTGTCACAGTTCTTATTTCATTCTGCTGTTAAGACTTGTCACAGTTCTTATTTCATTCTGCTGTTAAGACTTGTCACAGTTCTTATTTCATTCTGCTATTAAGACTTGTCGCAGTTCTTATTTCATTCTGCTATTAAGACTTGTCACAATTCTTATTTCATTCTGCTGTTAAGTCTTGTCACAGTTCTTATTTCATTCTTTAAAATGAAAATAAAGTCTTTTAAGTGTCATAGAGAAAATCTCAAGAATTTCACTTGCTCAGATGACTTTATAAATATTTACAACTTGTTTAGCTGCTTGCTATCAAATTCAATAGATCCCATTGATTGTGTATTGTGAGAACTCACACAAGAAATCTAGCAGTGCAGTTTATTATTAATCAAGGTATGGGAGACAAGTGTAAAGGGTTGTTCAAAGGTGAAACATAACTGTTAAGATGATTGGTTGAAGCTAATTGACCTTGATGATTTTATCAGGTAACTGTTCTTTCAGAAATAAAACCTGAAAGTCATGAGAGATACAAGTAAGAAAATAAGTGAAAAAAACAAAGCAAAAGACATAACACTTATAGATTTACTAAAATAACTTTTTCATCTTTGAGATATTATTATTATTCAATCCTTAGCAAGACTTGGATCTAGGAGATGAAATGTTCATTCTAGCAGTAAGAGTTGTAGATAGAATCAGATTTTTTTAAACATCAGTTGGTTTGCTTTGAAAATTGAAAAAGTGCTAATACCTGTTATCCCTAGATTATCAACTTTTAATTTTGGTCCAGTAAAAATTCAGGAATTTAC